ATTTTAGGCAATAATGAACTCTACAATATTTTTTGCTCTAAGTTCCATATAGCCAGTTGATTCTCACAGAATGCTTTAATGGATTTTTGCAGAACTCTTGTATCCCCAGCTAACCTGTGGTTATAAAGGATGAATGAGTCTAGCTCTGACACAAAAGCTGGTTAATATTTTTGCCTAAATTAATAAGGCAGAAGTGTAGCAACAACAATGCATGTTAGAACTTCATTTGTTTGTCACGTGAGATGACTTTTTTACTGAATCAGATAATAGTTCTCGAATCCTGGGAGAATAGCTCCTCAATTTTTTCCTCCTACTAGGCGACAGCTGCAGACACAACACTTTTAAATTTAATTTGTATCAATTCTTTTGGACAGGAGAGAGATTTTGCTCCTCAGAGGATCTTTGGAAATGTCCAGAGACATTTTTGCTCGTCACAACTATAGAAGGAGGGTGTTACTGGCATCTAATAGATAAATAGATGTCAAACATCCCTCTCCCCCAAAAGAATTATCTGGTTCAAAGTTGAGAAATTCTGATCAGTATCAGTAACATTTTCTCCATAACTCTTTAAAGTTTAGATAGTCAACAAAATAATAAATCAAGTCCAGATTTGTAGCAGCTGCCAATTTCAGTGGTGTAAATATTCCCACTATGGCTGATTGAATCTACCAATATGACATCTTCAAGTGTGGAGTCATTGAAAAATGTGCGGTAGCACATTATATGGAATTTCCACCGCAGAGAGGCAATAGTTATAACTAACTCCAAGATTAGAAATTCTAAATTAACATGTAGTAATATAATTGTATTTAGTAGGTTCTGTGTATTTATTGCCTGCATTTATAATGTACTTATGTAAATAAACATTTAACTTTTAATAATGGCTGTGCTTCACAGCTGGCTCATAAAATTCTTAAAGATTTAGCAGTTCACTCTTAGAGGTCAGTATAGACCAGCCTGGCTCCAGCTTGCCACTGAAATGACTATCCTCCACCCTTGAATTCACATTTTGTATTTCCTGCATCTTAGAAATATCGACCCAATTCCAATGCCAGTTTCCTAGAGAATGGACTCTGTCTGGCCCAGAGTGGGTCAGGTACCCGCCCATGGTGTAGCTATGTGAATATAGCTGGATCCAAAGGGAGCCTGTCCCCTCCCATTAGGAAATTTCTGGAAGCTTCCCTGTGCGTGGGAGGGCACCCTCAGAGGAGTCCATGACTGCTACAGACACATAGACACTTGCTTCCTCCTCCGCTCCTGTTTATCAAGACTCCATGCAGACTGAGTTTCTGACTCATCCAATTTTTCCTCCCCAGAGAGATTTCAAAATAATGTATTAAATCAGTGGTTCTCAAAGTGTGGTCCTGGGATCAACAACAGCTGCTTCACTTGGGAGCTTGTTCAAAAAGCAAATTATTGGGCAGGACTTCAAACCTCCTGACTGAGATGTTCTGGGGGTGGGGACCAGCAGTCTGGGTTTCAAAAGTTCCTCCAGGTTATTCTCAGGGAAGCTGAAGAATGAGAGCCACTGTACTAGATTATCTAGTTTTAAAAAAGAAGTTACATTCTATTCTTTAGGACAGCAGCAAAACAAACCCAGTCATCCTGATTAAATTTGGTATTTCTTCCAGTCTTCAGAAATGACAGACAATCTCCCTTTGGATGAATTACTTTAGCAGAGGAAAAATATCATCAATCTTACATTGATTGATTTTTACTATTTCTTCTTTTAGGAAATGACTGGTCTTTTAGTTCTGTGAATGCTTTATTATAACCTCATCTATGCTATTAAATTATAGTTAACTTACATAATTTGACTTTTCAAGATCAATTTCTTGATTCCCAAGCCAGCTGGTAGTATCCTCAAGAGTAGGAACAATGTTTTGTATTTGGTTTTGGTCACAGAACCTAATGTAGTACAGAGCCCACAGAGGACACCTAAATATTGGTTGAATAATTATAAAGATTTACACAAATTTTTTTGTCCAATCCCTTGCTTTCTTTTACTGGCATTATTTAAAGTTTATCTCACCTTATTTCTAAAGTAGTTACACTGGAAAAATTTAAAAAGAATTTCAATAATTAAAACAGAAAATGGATATTTTCTGGATATTTTCTCCAAATTACGGGACTTTCATCAAATTATGTGCGAGGAAGAAAAGGAGAATCACCAGTGGTTACTATGGACAGATAAGCTGATATTTTATGTTTCCTTCCAATCATTTTTTCTCAGTTTATACACTTTTCTAACCAAAAAGAAACCATATGCTAGATTTCTAGTTTCATTAGTTTACTTTTTCACTAAGCACTATATCATGAGGATTCTCATATAATTGTATATTTTTCTGAAACATGGTTTTTAATGTTCTAGATTATTCTGTTCTATGTATGAACTGTAAGTTATTTAACCATTCCTCCATTTAGGATATTTGGGTTGCTAACAAAATTTGACTTTTTAAATAACTACTGTGATGGAATGGGATGCAGTTTTCTTAAAGGTCTTATTTATTTATTTAGAGTGCACAAGCCGGGGTGGGAGGGTGGGGGAAGGGACAGAGGGCTAATGAGAAAGAAAATCTGAAGTTGACTTCCCGCTGAGTCTGGGGGGCGGGGTTAACCTCCTGACGCAGAGATCTTGACCAGAGCAGAAATCAAGAGCGGTTTGCTCAACGGACCAAGCCACCCGGCGGCTCCAGGATGCATAGTTTGGAAATGAACACATTCTCCCTCAGAGTCAGGATGGGTTGGTTCTCTCCTGGTCGTCTTTTTTCCCTTCTGTATTGAAAAGCTTACTCATCAGTTCGCTTGTTCAAGTACACATCTCTCTGTTTCATTTCAAGCCTTTGTCAAGATTTAATGCATATGTTTACATAAACATCGAAATCAGCGAGAGCCTGAAATTTAAAAGGAGCCTGTTTTTGGTAGCTAGTTTTTTCTCTGTCTTGCACTTAGCTGTCTCCCATTGGCCAGCTGTTCCTTTGCTGGAAACCTCCCCTCACTGTTACTATCATCCCTGTCAATCCTTCATTTAGGTTTCTGTGTAATAATTCTCATCCCTAAAACAGGAAAATGTTAATAAATTATTTGCTTAGGGAATTATAAGTGACTTAGAAGACTGTTAGCCATATAAGAATGTTGCCATGTTTATTAGTTCAAGGACTTTTTCTTTGTAAAATATTTTAAGCTTTCCAAAGCCTTAAAAATTAGCTTAGGATTATCAGGGAGTGAGTTAACTTCCTACGTTGATTTCTTTCTGGTAAAAGTCAGCCATCTTTTGGATGAAATGAAACCAACACACACACGTGCACGCGCGCACACACACAGGTGTACAAAACTTTGTAAATCGATTGAACAGTTCTCTACCATCTTTTATTTTGTTAAATCATCTCACCCAGTATCAACGGACTGAACTGAATGATATTTCTTTCCTTTTTTAGTGGGAAAAACTAACCTGTCAAATATTGTTAAAATTATGACTTATTTGGAATTTCAAAAACAACTTTGATGGCATAGAACCAAAGATAAATGCTTTGTAAACAGTTCTTAAGGTTTTTTTCCTATAAAGATGTTTATTTATTTGGTAGACAGAGATCACAAGTAGGCAGAGAGGCAGGCAGAGAGAGGAGGAAGCAGGCTCCACGCGGAGCAGAGAGCCCGATGTGCCCCTCAATCTGAGGACTCTGGGATCATGACCTGAGCCGAAGGCAGAGGCTTTAACCCACTGAGCCACCCAGGCGTCCCTTAAGGTCTTTTTTAAAAATTAAAATCTTGGGGCGCCTGGGTGGCTCAGTGGGTTAAAGCCTCTGCCTTCGGCTCAGGTCATGATCCCAGGGTGCTGGGATCGAGTACCGCATCGGGCTCTCTGCTCAGCAGGGAGCCTGCTTCCTCCTCTCTCTGCCTGCCTCTCTGCCTACTTGTGATCTCTGTCTGTCAAATAAATAAATAAAATCTTTAAAAAAAATTTAAAATCTTAGGGGTGCCTGGGTGGCTCAGTAGTTTAGGCCTCTGCCTTCAGCTTTGGTCAGGATCTCAGGGTCCTGGGATCATGCCCCGCATGGGGCCTTCTGCTCAGCAGGGAGCCTGCTTCCCCCTCCCTCTCTGCCTGTCTCTCTGCCTGCTTGTGATCTCTTTCTGTCAAATGACTAAATAAAATCTTTAAAAAAATAAAAATTAAAATCTTAAATATAATTTTTCTCCACAATTTAATTTTTCTTGGGTTGGACTGACACAGACACACACACACACACACACACACACACTTTCTGATTACATCTCCCAGTCATGTCACTGAAAATCTTGATTGCTGAACACATGACCATAAAGATTATCTCAGTTAGCCTGGGGTAAAAGTTCAATTAGCACCAAGATATGTAAGCCCTTTAGAACTGAGAAATGAGAGACATTTACTTCTGAAGTGACTTAAATGGACGTAGTTGCTTAACTTTACAGGAAATTTAATGGGCTGGCAACGAACACTGCCCCTTTATTCTTTACTGAGCTATAGTATTGTTCACGTTTTTCCCACTTTAGTGCATTCATTTTGACAAGCAAGCAAGCATTTTGACAAGACAAGGTAACTTCAAGAACTCTGGTTTGAACTGGTTTAATGAGTGAGGATCTGGACCTAATTAATATAATTGATGTGTTCTATGAGGAGACTTTTTCTTCTGAACTAGCAGGTACAAGCAGATGCAATAACTTCTCATTAAATATACAGCATGTCAACCTCCACCGGCTTCAAGAATACTGTTACAGAATACTTTGAATTGTTAGCTCTCCTAACATCAACGACAGGCGCGCTGCCGGAGGGCGCCACCAGGAGTCGCAAGTCTACAGAGGCTTCGTCAACAACGGGGCCCTGGAGCACTCCCTCCCCTCCTCTCACTCACTTCGGCTTCCGCCGGAAGCGGTTATTGTCAGTCGTTGTCGGGTACTTGGACTTGTTTGTGGTGGGTTCGCTGCGCCTTGCTGGGTGAGGCTTGGTGGCAGGAGCCCGTTGGGCGTAAACCAGGGCAACGAGATGGACGTTCTGAAATCGGAGATCCTCCGGAAGCGGCAGCTGGTGGAGGACAGGAACCTGTTGGTGGTGAGGTTCCTTGGCTGTCTTGGGGCCTTGGCGTTCGGAGACGTGTGGGTGGGGGGCGCAGGGAGTGAGGGCGGGGTGAAGGGGTCGGGGCGGAAATGAGGCTTGGTGGGAGCTCCGCGGCTACCCGGAGCAGCCCCTTTAGACCCATCTTTTGACACCTACCTGAGTCTGAGGGAGGCGGGGAATTGGAGCAAACGCCCAAATTTTGGCAGATTTTCCCCGGTTGCCCTCTTTCCCTCGAGGTTTCCCTGTTTACCCTTTACACCCACTCCCATATGTCCGTATTCTGCGAACGTGCCCCGGTTCTGGTGGTGCACGTCTGTGGTTTTACTGAGGGTTTTTGCCCGGCTGAAACGAGAGAATAAAAGGGCAGGGCCAGAATTATTTAAAATCTAGGACTCCGTCCTACTTTTGAAACCCGAGTTTTGATTACATCCCTCCAGTACATAACAAAAGTCTTTTTGGCCAGCCCTTCGCTTGATAGGACGGCTAAAACTATTGTGGACAAACAGTGGAGTAAAAGGAGAAAGGAGAGAATTGCGTGATTTAGAAACTTCCTTAACTAGATGTTCATGACTTTGTTGCATAACAATAACTGAGACCAGCGGTTTTCAAAGCCTTAGGCCTCCGGAGCCCTTTACACTATTACAAATTAGGATCACAAAGGGCTTTGGTTGGGGTATTTGTAGATATTTGCCGCATTAGAAGTTAAAGCTGAGAAATTTTTCTTATTGAAATTTAGATGAGGTACAAAACTGTATTAGTTGCAGGTGCCTAACATAGTGGTTGACAATTACACAGACATTAGGAAATGCTGACCACATTGCAGTTTAATATCTGTCACCAACAAAGGTATTAAAATGTTAGTGTAGGGGCGCCTGGGTGGCTCAGTGGGTTAAAGCCTTTGCCTTCGGCTCAGGTCATGGTCCCAGGGTCCTGGGATCGAGCCCCATATCGGGCTCTCTGCTCAGCCGGGAGCCTGCTTCCTCCTCTCTCTCTGCCTGCCACTCTGCCTACTTGTGATCTCTGTCAAAAAAATAAAATGTTAGTGTATTCCCAGTGCTGTACTTTTCATCAGCGTGACTTAATTTTATAATGGGAAGTTTGTATCTTTTAGTCCTCCTCACCTGTTTTGCTAGAGCCCCACCCCATCACCTTTTCTCTGTATTTTTTAGTTTTTTTTTCCTTTAGATTCTCTATATAAGTGATATTATATGGTATTTCTTTCTCTGATTTACTTCACTTAGGGAAATGACCTCTAGCTCCCATCTGTATTGTCCCAAATGGCAAGATTTCATTTTTTATATGCAACTGTATAATTTTATATAGAATTGACGATTTATAATCCTTTCGGCGTTGAAGTGTCCATCAGTAGTTTTCAAATTTTTCACTGGCCACAGTCACTTTAAGAAATTTTTATATTTTGCTCTGATATATATGTGGAAAAAAAATTCATGAAATAGTTAACTACATGTAATTCAGTCATATGTTTTAATCTCTTCTGTTTGATTTAAAAATGCTGGTTGGGGATTGTTGAATTGTTTTCATTACCTTATCTGTAGCTGGAAAACACCTGTGTTACCTTGTTCTTCTGGAAGAGCTGCCTCAACTTGGTCATTTCAAGTGATGTCGCAGCTTTTTATTGTTAGTCCGAGAGTTGAAATAGTAAGTACTTATTGCGAGTGCCTCATTGTTAAATTGGAGAAGCTCCTATAATAGCCTCCTGTCATCTGTCCTAAATTATCTGCCTGGTGTAACTACTCAGGTAAGTGTAGTCTCTGAGTAGCTCTCATACCAGTGCTTTGGGGCTAACACAGAGCATCATTATGTGGAAAATGCAGGGTGCTTAAGGAACAATAGAGCATAAGTAGCAGTTTTTGTTGTAGTGATGAGGATGGGCTTTGGGTAGAATTTTTAGCTTTGTTTTTTCCCCCAGTATTTACTGAATGTTTTGTATATTTCTATATATGCTACACTGTGCCACAGAAGATTAAAAAAAAATCATGCTCGATCCTTTAAGGAGTATGCATTCAGTTTCATAGAAAATAGGGAAGCCAACAGGCATGATACTCCCCACCTTTTTTTCCTGTTAAAACAGGATGAGGTATCAGTTAAAGCTTGGGTCAAACTTTCCACCTGTGCACTGGATCCGAGCTCATCCTAGCACCACCAGAAACCTGAAATGTCACCTATGTCATTTCTTCCTTTGCCTTCCGTCTATTGGCTTACCCCCACCAGCCCTGGAACATACTAGATGTCTCTTTCGTCTTTAACAAGGTTTTGTTTTTTTTTTTAAAGATTTTATTTATTTATTTGAACACACAGATCACAAGTAGGCAGAGAGGCAGGCAGAGAGAGAGGGGGAATGGGGCTCCCTGCTGAGCAGAGAGCCTGATGCGGGGCTCGATCCCAGGACCCTAAGATCATGACCTGAGTGGAAGGCAGAGGCTTAACCCACCGAGCCACCCAGGCGCCCAACAATCAGGCTTCTTAAAATAAGTTCTAATTTCTGCACACTCCTTAACATGATGCACAAAGGTTGCTGCCCCCACAACGGTACTGAATCCATTCTAATCAGGGACAGCAGTGACCTCCATGTTTTCCAGCTGACCTCGACAACACTTGACACTCTTGACCAGTCTTCTTGCTACAGGTGCTCTTCCACCTCTCCTCCTTTATGATAGTACTAAAAGGATCTTGGACTTAAAAATGTCAAGAGTTAGTAATTTCTTTGCTGGTGAAAATCTGTGCCCATTATACCCTAGCACCACAGTTGTTCTGGCTACTTTGGACCTTTTCTCATTTTTTCAGTTCTTTGAACTTGCCCTTCTTACTCTTACTCATCTTTTTTTTTTTTTTTTAATAGTCTTCTGTAATTTTCTTCAGCTCCATCATAGTCAGTGAGTAGCCTTCAAAAGTGTTTTTTTCTTCCTAGTGTAGCCAAAAAAAAAAAAACCAGTGTGATAGGGGCTTTGTTGATAGCATATTTTGACATCTGCGGAGTAGATTTTTTTTCTTCAACATTTTACTGTAAAAATTTTTAGTTGTGCAGAAAACTCAAAATTGTACAGTTAGAGGGGTGCCTGGGTGGCCCAGTCAGTTAAGCGTCTGTCTTGAGCTCAGGCCATGACCTCGGGGTTCTGGGATCTAGCCGTGGGTCGGGCTCCCTGCTCAACAGGGTATCAGAGTATCTGCTTCTCCCTCTCCTTTGCCCCTTGCCACTGCTTGTGATTTCTCTCTCTCCCTCTCTCTCTCTCAAATAAATAAAATCTTAAAAAAAGTTTTTTAATTGTACAGTTAGAAACTCACATGCATACTATCTAGATTCTTTAGTTAAACCTGCATTAATATTTTGCTCTATTTGCGTTATCATGTACCTGTCCAAGAGGAAAGCTCCATAGCTCAGGGGTAAGAGCGCTGGTCTTGTATCATGTACCTATCTATCTATCACTTCATGTAACAATGTAGAAACTACTTCAGAGCGGTTACAACAGTCAGAACTTTTTAGGAAGGTGATATGCTATTGTAGCTTCTCCACAGTTTGATGAAGGGGCACTCACAAGGTAAGTATTGTAACTCTCACAGATTAACAATAAAAAGCTGGGACACCACTTGAAATGACCAAAGATAAGGGAGCTCTTCGGGAGCTCTACGGACAGGTGTTACTCAGCTGCAGATGGGGAAATGAAAACAATTTAACGATCTTAATATATTTCAAGTTAGGTTATAGACATTGGCACACTTTACCCCTAAACAATTTGGAGTGTATATCATGAACAAGAGTTCAGTGTTTTAAATAAACACTTCTTTTTATGTGTATGCACAATTTTACATATTAAATACATTTTTAATTTTGAAATTTAAAATATTTTATATATTAAGAAATACACAGATCAGTGAATTTTGACAAATGCATATGCCTGTGTAATCCCATCTGTATCAAAATAGAGAGTATTACCTCACTCCATCTTCCAGTCATTCTCTTTGCCTACTACCCCCAGAAGTCACCACTGTTCGTATTTCTTTGCACCAGTTTAGTTTTGCCTGCTCTAGAACCTCACAGGACTGGAATCGTACTGTGCACTCTTCTGTGTTCCACTATGTTTCATCATAATGATTTGAGTTTTCTCCATGTTGGACAGATCAGTTCCTTTTTTTGCTGAGTAGTATTTCATTGCATGAATAGATCTGGTTTGGGAATCCGTTCTTCTGATGTTGGGCTCCTGGGCTGTTTCCAGGGTTTGGCTCTGAAGATGAAAGCTGCTGTGGAACTTGCTGTATAAGTCTGCTGTTTTCATTTCTCTGAGGAAAATGCCAGGGAGTGGAATTGCTAGGTCACAGAGTACATATATGTTTTTATAAAAAGCCACCACATGTTTTTCTAATGTGTTTGGACCATGTTACATATCTACCAGCAAGGAGGGTTCAGAGGTCCTCCATTCCCACGAACAGTTTGTGTTGTCAGTCTTTTTAACTTCAGCCATTTGGAGGATGTGTAGTGATACTGCATTTTGGTTTTAATTTGCATCTGCCTGATAATGATGATAAGTGGTGTGTGTGTGTGTGTGTGTGTTTAGCTCTTTTGTAAAGTGTTAAAATTGCTTGAATATTTTTTAATTGGGTTGGGTTTTTTCCCCTTCTTGTGTTGAAGGAATTCTTCATTAATTATTGATGCCAGGTTTTAGATACCTCAGAGATGTTTTTTGAACATTTTCTTCCGGACTGTGGGTCTTCTATTTCATTCCTTTCCTTGCCTTTCTCTTCTCTTCCCCTCCCCCCTTCACCCTCCCCCCTCTGCTTTTCCCTTTCCTTTTCCCCTCCCCTCCCTTTCCTTTCCTTTTCTTTAAGGATTTATTTATTTGAGAAGGAAGGGAGAGGCAGGGAAAGGCAGAGGGAGAGGAAGAGAAGCAGGCTCCACTAAGTGGGGAGCCCGACACGGGGCTTGATCTCACCACCCTGAGATCGTGACCTGAGCCAAAATCAAGAGTCTGACGCTTAAC